TGTTTGCACCGGGTTGGAATGTTATTAAGACGTGTGCAGACAGAATACTGAAAGTAATATTCTCTCAAATCAACTAGAACATGGCATGATAAATAAAAATTGACGATTGGTGCGGGATGTGCATTTCACGTCGGCATGAGGTCTCCTCCCGGTATCCCCCTAGCTCGGTGGTGTGTGCGTGACACCGAATGACACAAAGTGTTCTGAACGGAATCTGGAACTTTCTAGAGTGACCACTTGCGAAGAAATGCCGTTCGCTTGACGACAGAGATAATAAGAACGTGTTTTTGTCTTCGAATTCCTCGGATGCGTCAGTCCTCCCATCCCACCTCACAGACTCCTTGCATTATTCATTTGCGTTTACTAGACACTTTTTTCTTGGCACACCGCGTGTGTAGGGTTGTAAAAATGAAGGAAGACAGAGTTCCATGTGTGATCACACCAGTATGTAATCGATTTCTCAACAAGGGAGAAAATGTTGTGAATCCAATTTTTGCCGGGAAACTGTTAATAGTCACACTCGAGAAGTTTTTGTGTGAACCGTTTCTATGGCTGTTTTACGTCAATACTAGTCGTTGTTGTTTGGAACTGTCAACGATAAAAATGTTTTGAATTCGCACTTATCCCACCCAACGTCTTGGCAACGCATATCAAGTGTAGTATGCTACCAAAAATTGTGCTTGGAATGTGATAACACACGCGCACAGTCAAACGACTCGAATCATTGCTTCTTCTGGACCGTAGATCATCGTCAAAATTCCACCTCGATTCTAGTGTCGAAACCGCCAATAATCGTAAAAAAACGTTCTAATCTGCCAGTCACCCGTAGCCATCTCTCGCTCTCTACTTTTTGGTGTCTTTAAAGAAGATCTCCCGTTCATTCTTGCTAGAAAATCAGTAGGTTTGTTTCGTGGGACAGAACAATTTCGCACAGGGACGAAGCAGAAAACAGAGGGATGAAACAACATATCAGGGCAACATTTTTCCCACCGTCAGATTAAACATCTGTATCGTCTGTGAGATCGCTAAAACCCACTGCACTTTTCGGGGGTATGACATATGTCGCTTTTCCCAGTTATGTGAACGCATGAGAACGCGGCCGTGTGTGGTGGGAGGTAGCAACAGGTCAGCGGTCAAAGCATCTATCCGCTTGCAATCAGGCTCAGAAGTGACGTTATTCCACTTTCTGGCTGAGCGAACGAACATGACAAGGCCCGTCTGGATTGATTTGGGCAGTTCATAGGCATGTATAGGAGATCGGATCAGAAAGGTGTGGAACACTCGGTTCACCTTTGTGAGAAGGGTGGCCACTTCAGACGGGAGTGAGGTAGTGATCGTCTTTGAAAGAACACTGAAACATCCAACAACTTTTGCTCAGAACGGTGAACATTGATCGTTTCTCTTCTAAATCAAAGGCACTAAGGCATGCCCGTTACACTACTTGAGTTGGAACTAAACCATCGCTTGAGTCGACTAGGGTTAAACGC